TCCCTCTTAAGGTGCCCCCATTTCCCCCCTTTCTCCCTTACTAATACCCTTCTCCTATGGTCCTACCTATCTTGAGCTCCTTCTTTCCCTTTATCCCCTAGATTCCTTGTATACCCTTCCCTCCACCATCTCTTAAACTAACCCAGTTTTTATCCATATCTCCCTTATAGGCCTGTTTCCTACTGTTCTTCTCTTTCAGGTTCTTTCTTTTCCTTTACCTCCCTGTTTCCTTTCCATTATCCTGGTTCCTGTAGTTATGCCTGGTTGCATACTTATTTATCAGAGTCTGGCTCTAGGATCCATGTATGAGGGAGAAAATATGTTGATTTTTTTTCTGAGTCTATGTTACTTCACTTAGTATAACAGTTTCTAGTTCCATTCATTTACCTGCAAATTTCATGATTTCATCTTTCTTTACTGCTGAGTAAAACTCCATCATATATATGAACCACATTTTCATTATCCACTCATCAATTGAGGGACACCTAGGTTGCTTCCATCTCTTAGCTATTGTGAAAAGAGTAGCAACAAATGTGGATGTACAAGTGTCTCTGCAATAGGATGAGTTCTTTGGGTATATGCCAAGGAGTGGTATAACTGGGTCAAATGGTAGGTTCATATGTAGTTTTTTAAGAGTTCTCCACACTACTTTCCATAGGGTTTGAACCAGTTTGCAGCCCCACCAGCAGTGGATGAGTGTTCCCCTTTCCCCAGATCCTTTCCAACATTTGGTATCCTTTGTTTTGTTGATCTTAGCCAGTCTGACTGGAGTAACGTGCAATCTTAAAATGGATTTAATTTGCATTTCCCTAATTATTAGTGATATTGAACATGTTTTAAGATGTTTCATAGCCATCTTTACTTCCTTTTGAGAACTCTCTGTTCAGCTCCTTAGCTCATCTTTTAATTGGGTTGCTTCTTATCCTGATTCTCTGTTTTTGAGTTTGTTATATATTCTGGATATTAAACCTCTGTTGGATGTGATGCTGGTGAAGATTTTCTCCCATGCTGTGGGTTTTCTGTTCGCTTCCCTGGTTGCCTTCTTTGATGTACAGAAGCTTTTTAGTTTAATGAGGTCCCATTTGTGGACTATTGACCTTGTTTCCTGGGCAATTGATATCTGGTTTAGAAAATCCTTTCCTACACCTATATCTTGTAGGTTTTTGCCAACGTTTTCTTCTAACAGTTTCAGAGTTTCAGGCTTTACATTGAGGTTTTTGATCCACTTGAAATTGACTTTTGTGCAAGGTGAAAGATAGGGGTTTAGTTTCATTTTTCTACAGGTGGAGATCCAGTTTTGCCAGCACCATTTG